AGACCTTTGACATCAACCGGCACAGGCCAGTCGGTGATCGCCTTGATCTTTTCGGGATCAGGACGTACACCGTTCTTACCAACGATGCACCCAAGAAGTGGTATTTCGCTTGCGGCAAATATACACTTCTTGAGGTTTGCATACAATTGATGCTTTCGCATGATTGCAAGAACTTGTCGGACGTGGTACCTGTGAACCTCAACGTCCGACTTTCCATCCATAGCTCGACTGTGGATGAATACGTCATCGAAATAACTCGGCGCGAATTCTCGTACTGGTCTCAACAGATGTGATATACATCTGTTGAACGTGGCTGGGGCATTACTAAGCCCTTGTGGCAATACTAGCCATTCTCAGAGCACGCCGCTAGGCGTGCTCACTGCTGTATAGGGTATATCCCGTTCCCGCATAAGGATTTGATAGAATCCATCCATCAAATCCATGGACGAAAAGATGGTACTCTTTGACATGCCATCAATGATTACGTCCTTCCTCGGTATCGGCGTCTGAGCCGGTACCGTTGCAGCGTTCAATTTGTTGAACGCGTGCACTATCCGCCACCCTCCTGTTGCTTTTCGCACACAGAAGGTCGGAGAGCTATGTGGGGAAGTTGATTCCCTCACATGGCCCGCAGCTAAACGATCGGCAAAGAACTTGTCGATCGCAAGTACTTGTTCACGAGGCAGTGGCCACTGCTTCATGACACAGTACTTCGAGCCTGGTTTAAGCTCGACCTCGTGTCGAATACCTTTATCCTTCGGTAATTCGCACGGAACAGTTTCAGGGAATACATCCTTGAATTCAACCAAATCTTCATAGAGAGGATTTTTCTTGAGCGATTCCCATGATTGGGAGTCATATCGCTCAATTCGTGTCTTTTCATCCAGGACACTCTCGTCCATAGATGAACTACTGAGAACTCTCTCGTTCTCAGTGAACACTGTTGCTGACCTTATGTCGATTACACACTGGTCGTCAGCGACGAGTATGCAGATCTGCTTGACTTTGCCACTACGCAGATCACGCAAGAACCTTTTATGTTCGAGCGTTGGCAACTGAGTGATCTCCGAAGTCAACTTCGGAGGCGCAATCAGATCAAGTACATAAGCGCCTACACTTGCTCCGTTATTGACTATGACATTCAATGTCTCTGTCATTTCCTGGGGACTTATTCCCTCAGGCTTCGAAGGACTTATTCCTTCGTCTTCCCGGGGACTTATTCCCGCGGGGTTCGGGGAACTTATTTCCGCCGTATTTGTAATCTTGGGACCACCTTTTGTCTTTACTTCCTCTAGCTGGGGTTGCGCAACCACAGCGAGATCCTCTACGAAAGACTCTCCAGTCGATCTAGGATTATCGTTTCGCTTAACCTGAGCGATCGATTGTTTCTCTTCTAGATGTTCCCCGCTAGGGATACATCTTTGTCCCAGTCCACCCGACTTATTCGAGTGGTGGACCTTCGGCGCAGCCTGTGTTTCCTCACAGCCGCCGGAACTTTGCTCCGAAGTGTAACCGTTTGGTACACTAAGGTTTTGTGCAGTCGTACTAACGACCGTACCACAAGTGAGGCCATCGCACTCACTCGTAGTACATCCACACGCTTGTGGACGCTCCAAAACGTTCATCAGATGGCCATCTGATGAACAAGCGGCAGGCATCGTTACTGTTCGATGCTGCCAGTTTACCCGTGGTTCGTACCTTCTGAGCCACGGTATTCCAAGGATGACATCAAATTTGTCATCCAAATCCAATACGATAAAGTCATCGTCATATTGGGTATCTTCTAGCGTATAGTGGATCTTTACTATACGCTTCATGACGGTTACGGATGCGCCTGTCGCAAGACGTACCGTCATCCTCGTAAGAGGTGTGTCACATTCACTGAATTTAAAGTGACCATCTTCTAGCGATTGGCGTCGCACAAAATTGTTGGACGCCCCACAATCGACTAGGGCTCGAAGGGACAACTTATTCGTCACTTCGAGTTTCAAGGTAATGAGTGAGATCTCATTACCTAGAGCAGCAACGCACAATGTCTGTGTGTTGGGAGCAACCTTCATCAAGAGGCCTACAAATTCTCTTGATGTTGCTAGACCAGCAGGGTGCTCCGCACCTACTGATCCTGTCCGTTTTTTGACGGCCCATCCCGTTGTTGCGTCTTTGCACCAACTGCGGACCCTCGTCCCTGCCCCTTTCTCATGGGTGGACGGTCACTACGCCCAGTGTCGCGAGACACTGGACGAGGGGCACTACACTCGTAAGCATAGTGTCCTGTCTTTTGACATCTGTTGCATCTCTGCAACTTCTTGTAGCCTGTAGAGCGAGCCTTCTCGCTCTCTACATAACAGAGTTCCATCGGCTCTGGACCTCCGTTGTCATATCGTCTCGGTTGACGATATGATGTCGAGCTGGCGCGAGCCTGTCTCAGACTGAAGTCTTCCTGCTCCGCAATGGAAATGGCTTGTTCTGGTGAATCTAGTTCAAGCCGGAACAGGTGAGTCTTGACGGGACCATCCGCAAGACCCTGCATAAACACCGAAACCAACGTGTGTTCATCCACCGGATTGGAACTTATACAACTCGTGAGATGTCGTATATGTTGGGCGTAAGCGTGCACATCACGCTTACCCTGTTTGAGCTTCAAGAGTTCGGTTCGAGCCCTGAACTCAGCTCTAGGCGGTTCAAACGTTTGTCTGAGCCGCGACTTGAAGACTTCCAACGACCCAAACGCATATGGGTCGTGCAACTTGAGCCCCAGTGCCCAAGTCTTGGCACGTCCTGCCAGATTTGACTGGGCAAATGCAACTTGCATATCCCCGTCGTCGATGCGACGCGCCCTTATGGCGTCATCCAATTCGACGAACCATCTCAAGAGGGAGTCTTCTTCGACACCCCTATACTTTGAGATGTCAATCTTCAAAGTCTCGGGTCGATGCACTCGCGTCGACCCTCCAGCAGCAGCCTGCTGCTGTCTCAACAGTTCAAACTGTTGAGCACCCTGTTCTCTCAACAACTCTGCTTGTTGAGAACCTTGTTGGTGAAGCAAGGCTACTTTCTCGCGTTCTGCGTCAAGTTCATTTTGAATGAACTTGGCGATAGTAGCATGTTGGGCATCTCTATTGAGAGCCTCTAGCATGACGCTAACAGCATGGATGCCCATGGTCGAACCCATTCGTTCAACCGCATCCCATTCGACATCGCTCAAATGGGAGTAGCCGTCACGCGTAGCGTGAAAGCTTTGGTCATCTTCATCATCCAACATATTCATGTTGGATGTGAACGCGGTCCTTGGACGGACTACGAAGTGCTACCAGGTGTAACGGGGCACCCTGAAGCTTGTACTGGTGACAGTACAAGCTACTTATTCTGATGACAGAATAAGGCGGTGCCTCGTAACTTCACGTACACTCGTACGTGCAGAGGAAGACGGTAAGAAGAAGCGAGTACTTGGTTAAAGTAAAAAGTAGAACTGTATTTATAATAGTTATTGTCTGCAATAAATCACTATTTATCTTCATCTAACTATGTCTAAATACAAATGTGTAAATCAGTTATCTGCTCACCACTCATTGCGTGCGTCTGTCGTGGCGCGTCTTCGTTGGTTGATATAATGGCCTATATCAACCAATTAGGAACTACTTGTAAGTGCTACAGAATATTTGTCCTTATGACAATATTCTGAGAATATAACTCTTAAAGTTATATTCTATTAACTATTCTTACAAATTGTTATGTAACGATTCACCCCGTTACATTTTCTATATACTGGTACGTAATTTACGGCAGAAATTAGTCTAATCGAAACCGGTCAAATTTTATTCATCAAATTACTTTGCGTCGAGTGCATACTTAACAAGAAAAGAAAGGCGTGAATGTCACCAACAAAGGATAGAATGTAAGCATTGTCGTTTTGAAGTACATAACAAGCAGATATCTGCACTTGTGCTCCAATCTGCCAGTTTACTTCAATGATTCAAGGAGCACACAATCTCAATCCTTCGTCGTACACACAAGAAGTGTAACGGGGCACCCTGAAGCTTGTACTGGTGACAGTACAAGCTACTTATTCTGATGACAGAATAAGGCGGTGCCTCGTAACTTCACGTACACTCGTACGTGCAGAGGAAGACGGTATGAAGAAGCGAGTACTTGGTTAGAGTAAAAAGTAGAACTGTATTTATAATAGTTAATGTCTGCAATAAATCACTATTTATCTTCATCTAACTATGTCTAAATACAAATGTGTAAATCAGTTATCTGCTCACCACTCATTGCGTGCGTCTGTCGTGGCGCGTCTTCGTTGGTTGATATAATGGCCTATATCAACCAATTAGGAACTACTTGGAAGTGCTACAGAATATTGTCCTTATGACAATATTCTGAGAATATAACTCTTATAGTTATATTCTATTAACAATTTCTTATAAATTGTTATGTAACGATTCACCCCGTTACAAGAAGCACGTTTCGTGCAACGCTGGATGAAGTGGATGAACATGAATGAGTGCAATACGTCTCTATCGAATGCAGCTGAAAGCACCTGGTCACAGTGCGGACGAAGGATAAATATGCGCTGTCGGTACAAACCTGCATTTGAGACACTGCTCTCGTAGACCAAGACGTGACGCAACCGCCAAAGACGCGACACAATTACATGGAAAATAAAAAGCGACCACGGTATATAAGACTTCACGGGCTAGTCAGTCGTATTGAATTGACCCGCAGTCTATCTATCAGTCAAACAATGCACTTCATGCACAAAAAATAGCCGCTTCCCCTCTTTTTCCTAATCACAAATGATACACTCATCCGACCTCTTTCAGGTCTCTATTTCATTCAACAAAAAGTGCGAGACAAAAATAAATCTCTGGGTACCTGCATTGTGGTTTCGCAGATCCTATCCAATCGCATACCCTCGTCCACTCTTTCTTAGTCAGTCGTACGCTCCATCCACTCTGTATCCAAACATCCATCCACCATCACCCTCAAACTTGTCCAACATGGCGCAAGTGCGTCAACGGCGTCCACCTGCACCAGCTATACCCCCTTCGTCATTCTCTGCCAATGCAAAGGAACAAAAGCAGCAGCGTCACTATCGCCGCTTCCGCTCTTTTCTGCCTCGCGGGTGGCCAGTTGTCAGTGGCTTTCTCGCCTTTTACGTGTCGGCGTACGCCTTGGTGGCATTCTGGCACACGTGGCTGCCTGAACCCAAAGGAGTGGACGCGTCGGTTTATGAATTTTCAGAGGCTCGAGCTCGGAACGTCCTCGAGCAAATTATGAGTTTCGGGTACCGTCCTGTTGGTACAAAAGCCAACGAGGAGCTGACCCCTACTTATCTATTGCAACAAGTAGGTTTTGACCAATTTCCGACAAATCCAAACGATTTTCACAAAAAGGGGATTCAATTACACGAGGATGAAGTTGCTGTACTTTATGTAACGAACACATGTTATTGTTGTCTGAATCTCTTTTTCTCGTGTATCATGTAATGTACTAGATAAATGCCATCAAAACGATGGCAATGCCAGGAGTGAGTGTGGCAGTCGATATGCAACGACCGTCGGGCGCTTTTGGCCTGGACTTTATCGCGCAGTTTCAAAACATTTACGCCAATGTGACGAATATTCTCGTGAAAGTGGCACCACCGAATGCAACGCCGGACGCGCTCAATAATTCGCTCATGATCTCGTCACACTATGATGCGGCCATTGGTGGCGCTGCCGCTTCGGACGATGGGGTGAACATTGCAATTATGATGGAATTGCTGCGGCTGATGGTGCTGGACCCGCCAAAACATGCGACACTGGTGTTTAATTTCAATGGAGCAGAGGAGACGATTATGCAGGCAGCACATGGGTTTATTACGCAGCATCCGTGGACAGATACAATTCGAGCGTTCATTAACCTTGAAGCTGCAGGAGCTGGTGGTCGGGAGCTGCTGTTCCAGACGGGCAGTGATGAGCTGGCGTTGGCTTACGCACAGGGAGCCAAGTACCCGCATGCAAGTATTATCGCTCAAGAGCTGTTTCAATCGGGAATTATACCTGCTGATACGGACTACCGAGTTTATCGGGACTTTGGATACGTTGCCGGCATGGACTTTGCGTACATTGCAAATGGCTATGTTTACCACACGATACTAGACGATGTCTCTCGGATTCAACCGGGCTCGGTCCAGCGTCTTGGAGAGAATCTTGTGGGTATCGTGCATCAATTGGGAAGCGAGCCTGGACGTCTGAAAAAGGTCGGAGATAACCCACAGAGCTCCAACACTTTCTTTTCGGATGTCGCAGGACTGACAATGGTGACTGCAAGCAAAGAAGTGACCTTTGTCACGTGCGGCGTCGTGCTCGCACTCGCAGCACTGTATCTCTTGCTTTCTCGCGTTTCATTTCTTGAACGCTTGACTGCATTTGTGCTGATCACGCGATGTGCTGGTGCTGCAATTGCCTCATCATTAACGATTGGGGTGCTGCTCAGTCTATATGCACCACTGCCATGGTACTCGCAGCCATATCTAGCAGGAGCTCTCTTCCTTTCTCCAGCAGTCGCAGGCATGCTTCATCAACTGACAATGGTGTTGGAGAAGCAGGTTGGTAAAGTGACGCCCGAAGCTCTGTGGCGCCTGGAAGAGAGTCTCTTTGAAGCAGTACTTTGCGCTTGGATGGGGATGCTGGCAATCTGCTTGCAACTCGGCTTTATCTCGAGCTACATTCTGGCATTGTGGATTTTCTTTCCACTCGTGGGGCAGGTGCTGTGCCAGCTCCTACAGCGCTTCCGCCTGTTGTCGTCGGGGTTGTACATTTTCATCTCGCTGGGTGCCACCATCATCCCTGTGATCCACACAATGTGCTGCCTTGCAATCGCGCTCATGTTTTTTGTTCCGTTGCTGGGGCGAAGCGGCCCTGTAGTGCCTCCTGATTTGATACTGGCGCTACTGATGTGCGTCATTCTCTTGGTAAGTATCGTGTGAACATTTCTTGCGCTAGCATTGAGTAATTCCTCATCGTGCTTGCTGGATGATGCCACCGTATGTAGATCGTGGTGTCCTACTCTGGCCGAGTCTTCTGCTTTTTCTCTGCAAAACAGCTCACGCTATTGCGGAACGTATGCATCATTATTACTGTGCTATCGACTGCTTACGCTTCGATCCGGTATGTACATACTACTTTCTCGTGGCATGCGTGAGAACGAATGGTCTGACATACTTGTGAGTTTGATTGATTTGCAGTAACCCGTACTCGAATATCTGTCCAAAGCGTCTAACGCTTCAGCATGTTGAGCGCAAAGTGATGCTTCCGAACGGTGATGTTCAAACTGACTCGGGTCTATGGATCAACTCGATGGACTTTCGTGGGCTCGATCCTATCAAGGACAGCTTGGTCAGTACACAATGGAAACATTCGCACATGCACGTAGCTCCGCAAGAGCTGTATGAACACACCGAAGTGTACGGCCAGATGCCGTGGTCCCTTCCAGTGAAGCACATCCTTCCAGAAGACAAGTCATGGTATCTCCTTTCTGCTGCACCTGCAATCCCCGGTGATACCGTGGCCAAGTAAGTGGTTCTACATCAATGAGTTACACTTGCACTAATTTCTGCTTGTTCATCAGGCTTGAAGTCTTGTCCTCGACGTACGTGAACACGACTGATCGCCGCAAGATTCACTTCGTTTTCACCGGACCATCGCACATGAATCTCTTCATTGATGCCAAGAAATCGACGTTGACTTCCTGGTACGTGTTGATACTAGTTACAGCTGGGATACTGGATAGTGGGGACCAGGACCCCTTGGTGTGTTAACAGATTCGCCTTTTTACATGTTTACGACAGGTCTATGGGAAACGGTATAAGCGGACCCGTTGCTGAAGCTGAAGACGCGTACATTCTTCAGTTCTGTAGTGGTACAGTTCCGTCGAACTACCACTTTTGGATCGAGGCCGAGTCGAACAAATCGATTGACGTCGTTTTTGTGGCTCACTACCTCGAGCTCATTACGCCCGAGATGACGGAATTTCTACATTCGCTACCATCGTGGACTGTTGTTTCCGCATTTGCGTCCACGTGGACAAAGATGCAGATCTAGAGACCTACGGTGCAGCTCGATCCAACTGTAAACTGCACAACGGTAACTGTGAACCAGCAAGCATTCAGGGAACTAAAAAAGTGGATTCCTATTGACAATCTATGCGTTGAGCATAGGAAGGAGCCTACCACAATAATCTCTACGCCTCATTCCTGACCACGGGGTCCCCGAATGATACACGACAATACAGTCGATTCACAAAGCACATGTTGAGGCGCATGACTTGGATCTCAGCTGCTTTGTGAAAACTGCCTACTTTGCAGTGCTCGATGCATGGCCGAATCAGGATTTTCCACCCGGCCCTGCTTTTACATGATCAAGAGGCAGTAGCTCAATTGGACTGGATGAGCCAGTCTTTCTTGTATCCTCCGCCTGCTCTCATGATCATGAAAAGAGTGGACAAAACATGTGAAGACGAGGAGTGGACCCACATGGCAGAATGACCTGCTCCATGATACGACGCCGCTCTTTGTTCGTATAGCTCGAAGAGCATGCGTATGAGAGATCAAAGCTAAGCTTTCAGAAGAACTTCCTCTCCTTTCGCTAAGAACTGAAGTAAAGTGAGGATCTCAAAGCCGATCCTCCCTCCTTTCGACTCGATTGTAGTCGCTAGTCAACACAGCAGCTTTTGCAGCTAGGAGATATCAGGAAAGCCACATGCAAATAGTGGCACGAGAATGCTACGATCCAAGTCAAGCGCTGCCTTCAAACTCGCAACGTGTCCACCATTACTCCACCTCAAGTGAATCTTCAGGGACAGTACAGCACCTGGGGGGGGAGGCATGTCAGATTTCGCACGTTTTCGCCCAACTCAACGCGTTCCGACGCCCACGTTGTATCTGACCAGGATCCCACGGTCCCGACCTCCGCAGTCGCTACAGACAAGGTAGGTGGGATATCGATCATCTGTGTTTTTCCTTCGAATAAGCAAAGACTCAGGACAAGAACTTCCCCTGCGTTGAGGATCCATCCTATACTCTCCACTAGAACAAGAGCACGAGCTCGATGGCTTTTGCACCGAAAATAAAACCCACGATGAAAGTCTCCTCCTCTTTTGGGGATGCATGTATGTATGTAAGTTTGTATGCATGTATGCATGTATGTATGTAAGTTTGTACGTGTGGACGGATGGATCCCTGTTGGACCGGAGCAAGAGTCGACCAAAAAGATGTGCTCAGCCGCGTCGTTCAGCGCATCGTCTTTGCTCCTCGCTCTTCATCTCTCTCTCTCTCTCTCTCCTCTATCCCTTGAACCGCCCCCACCTCCGTCCTTCACTTTCCAACTTTCACCATGCACATCACGCAGGTGGACGACAACCACCCGCTTCTGTCCCCCCTTTCAAGCCCCGAAAGCACAAAGTCCCCCGCGGTCATCAAGCCCCACGATGGTCCCGTACCACTCATTTCCATGTCATCAGGTGACCCACCTCTTGCACGTCTCGAGACGCTCGAGCTCCTGAAGAGACCCACGACTACTCCCACTCCCACTCTTACAACGCATTCCAAAGTCTTTATTTGCCCGAAAGTGCATTGCGGCAAGCAATTTCCAAGAGCTTTTGCGCTGCGACGCCACATGCGGATCCACACAGGGACGAAACCTTATGCGTGTGACTACCTCGGCTGCCTGCAGCGCTTCAATACGTCGGGCAACTTGAGTCGCCACAAACGCATTCACAGCGGCGAGCGCCCGTATCCGTGTCTTTTTGCCGACACGTGTGGCAAACGCTTTAACACGAGCACGAAGCTCAAGCGACACATGCGCGTCCACTTTCCCGATGGCCCGAACGTCTTTCGGTGCAGCGGGCAGCACGTCCACTGCAAGTGGAGCTGTGACAATTACAAAGACTTTACGCAGCACCAGAGAAGCCATCACCCCGACAACCAGCAGCAGCAGCAGCCGGTGCAAGAAGACCCACGTCCTTTGACAGCTCCTAGTAATAATGGTGGGAGTCCAGGAACTATCGAGGTGAACGACAATAATGGGTACTTTGTGACGGCCGAAGCTAGTCGCGAGGAGCCGACGGATCAGGTTTTGTATGCAAAGTACCAGGATTCGACCAGTTCTAGTGGGAACTACTTTGCGTATCCACCAAGTAATGTGGACAAACCCAAGAGTAGCAGCATGGCGGCTGTACCTCCTTGGAACAAACATTTGGGGCTGCCAGCCTACTTTGGCTCGATTGACGACCACGTTAGCAGTCTCCCAACAGTGTTGCCCAAGGTACCACGCAAAACATCCATCCTAACTCAACCATACGGTTTGGAACCTCCACACCGGATCAAAATGAATGGACATCACGCGTTTGGCTCGTCAGTGCATTATGGAAACACAAACGCCGCGTTTGCAATCAGCTCGGACAGCTCTTTCTGCCGTCCGAGTTCGTCTGGTAGTACCAACTATTTTGCACCGCTTCGAACGGAAGACAAACGGGACGACAACAGCTACGAGCAGCACCAGAGGCAACAACAACTAATGTTACCGCTTTCAAGTTACCACGTGCTTCGACCGCCTCCGCAAAGCGGCAATACAAGCAAGTACAATGGATGTACTGTGTCAGCGCCAATGCACTCAGCGGCGCCCGAGTTTACTGGCGAAGAGCTCAGTGCCGTACTGCAGCTTATGAACGAGACGTACTAGAGAGCTACTGAGGTTGTCAATTTGAGTGTGGTACCGATCTTGTCATTTGTTGTGGTTGCTAGTTTCAACATGACGAAGATGTATCTACGTACTCGCCTTTGAGGAAATCAAGTTGATTGATACGCTTCGTGCTGGTCACACGAGCAAATGATACTGTACAAGTTTGACGCAAATGGTTGCATGCAATGGACATCAGTGGAAGCTGTGGCTAGTCTACAAAAAGATGAAATGCGGACTTGGGTAAGAACGACTGTTTGATGTTATTTGTAGATCTACACGCTGTTACGGCTTGGAGAATGAAGATCACGAAGGGACGGGCAGATCGATCATTGGCATTGGTCGATGAAAACTAGATAGATGCTACTAAGAAATCATACCTTTGTCAGTGTCTAGTCACCTATTCAAGCAAACCTGCATTCGAAATCGTTGTATCCGTTCCTGAATATACAACGCTATTGCTGCTAATGTTGGCACAACGTCGCTGAGTCATCGTGCGGTTGCTATATCAAAGCTTCCGGACGTAGACAATGTTTCCACAATACGATTGTGTTGATGAAGAATCTCGACTCGGAATAGCATTGATCCCATCGGATGCGCACGATGTGCGATCATCATGAGTGGCACAAGATTCTGCTCCATACTCTACGTCGATTTGGCAGGAGTTTGATCTTCTCTCGCGCGTGATCGCTTAGCAGAAGAAACTGATCCGCTACGACGTGAACACATCCACATTCAAAATCGCGTAATTGCCCATCGCTTCAAGTTGCCCCATATTTGCATCCACACGCTTGTAAAGTGGTTTGTCATGTGAAAGACGTGTGCAAGATGATTTGTTCACTGCAGAACGGAAGCCGTGACACGTACACGGCAAATTTCCAAAGCACTTCGCGTTCGTTGTGGTGGCCGATGCTTTACTTATTGCGTCTATTCGACCGGGACTTTGCAATGCTAAGAATGACTTCGCATCACAATGTGTTCATCGCGTCCAGTGGATGTTTTAAGCAAAGCGATCCTCGATCGCAGCATGTGCCATAGCTTTTTGTCAATGCGACATTTACCCTGTTGACATCATCCTAGCTTTCGCCCAGCAATCCTACTTCGTTTTGAACCAAGAAGATTGCCTCGTGTCGCCTATAGTACTCACTTGACATCATGCACACAATCTTCTTCTCCATGCTACACTTGTCTTGTACAATTGAAAAACGTGACGATATTGACCAGATCAAACTTGTACTGCTATATCAAAGTGGTGAAATAGCTGACCAGCGAAAGTGTACGGCTTGAGATAGTTGCCGTGTCTGATCGTTCACGAGATAAATCATCAAACCTTCGCGACAAAATCGGCAGCAAGTTCAGTCTTTTTTTCGTTGAGCACGAGAGGGACAGCTGCAAGTCATCTGCCCGGTGAGCAGGTTATAGATTTTGCCACTTATGTTCATCCGCTCCAAGTTATCTCCATCGTGCAGCATCCACGTCTCTTTTTGTAGCATGATACTGCAATGGGTTTGGCTGGATGACTACAGAAACATTTCGATCAACGATTCCACTGTTTTTTTTACCTGAGGAATGACTCAAAGCCGAGTAGATGTGTAAGTACAAGAACCGCTTCTTCGAATCTTACTTAGTCCTGTGGTTTCTACACTTTGCTTGCAAGCAGCAGCCTTAACAATATGCAGGAGCTGTTGCGCATTTTCATTTCTGCGACCGTGTCAGTCTGCGTAACAAATTCAAGACTCGTACAGATTTCGTGGCTCGTAAGATTGATCACCACTACGTTCCTACAGTTGCGTACGAAGCTTCAGCGGCAATACCACAACCTCCTTTTTTTGTCTTGAGCCACCTTGGCACACATGACGATTTTACTTTCTGCACGAAGATTACGATCACGCAGATGTCCACACTTCCAATGCGCAACAGTACTCAATGCTACTCTTTGACACGACTGGCTTCAGTTCCTATGCAACGCGTTGTTCACCTCGCAGTAACTTGGACACGCTTGTTCATGGTTGACCGTGTCAGCAAAGTAGCACCAGTATTGCGTGTTTGTCTGTCACGTTATCGAAATCTATGACCATGAACCATTGACTGCCATCACGAAAGCCAACTCATCATCACTAGCCAGTCTTGTCCAATAGCTTTGATTTGTCTTCGGCGGTGAATCATCAACGAGTCTGCCAAGAATGTCGTAAAAAATCGCCACCACTGTGCATACTGTACATGCTTTAGAGTACTCTATATGCCATTCAACAATGGACACGATCACAAGTAACCCAACAGCTCACGACGACCTTACAGCTCCCATACAGTCCCATCCTCACTCCCATTGCAAGGCTCCATCTCCTCTACTGGTCCATTATGAAACTTCTCCACAGGATGACAGGCATTGTTCGTCGAATGCCTGTTCGTGCTGCCTGTCGACCGCATGGAGCCAACCCCGCCACAATCTGTCTTGGTCTCTTTCACGACTTTACAGCTGCTGCGAGTGCTCGCAGAAGTAGCAACACTGTCACGCTGCAATCTCTCCTTGTGGCTTTTGGTCCGACAATTAGAAGGCAGTGCGTGGCTCGACTCCCTCTTCGCGCATCGAGAGCTTGGCACCGCACGCGCTTCGGAGCGCCGATGGACGTGCTGAGACCTGGAACTTGAACTTGACAGCACGGGAGGAGGGACACTCAGAGGGGGAAGTGCGGCACTGTTTCTGGCGCGGCACTTTGAGTTCAGTTGCTTGCCCAAAGGTGACAGTGGGACTGGACTTGAAAGCTTCGATTGACGTGTCGCACCTGACGTGCGGTGCATTTTCCGCAGCGCGTTCCAAAGCGGTCGCGTCTCGGTGGCATCGGGCACCACATGGCTACACAAAGCACAAGTACCATACATGTCGTCTTAAGTACGAATCATCACACCCGCGGTCGTCTAGCCCCAAGGAAGCCGGAAAAACGACGTACGTGGTGCATACGCGGTCCATGGCCACGTCGGACTCGGTCTCTTGGAAGCAAACGCAGCGCGACATGAGCTTGCGGCAGCTGCGGCACTTGCCGTCCCACGACAGCGGCGCGCTGGAGGGCAGTGGACTCGAAGGTGATTGGCCAAAATGTTGGCCCATGGTCAAGGGGTTGGAGACGCGATTGAGCAACTGAGCAGCGAATGAGAGAGCGTCGGCGGTTGAGACGCTGACCTCTCGTACAGCATATTTGGTGTTCAGGCGTTATGTAGCGCTCGAGATGATGTTGTCGAGTTCTGAGCGAGAGAAGAGGCTATATGATCGATGATATGACTGACGTGACACATGTCGCAGGAGAGCCAGCGACTGCCGTGACTCTTGACCGTACTTAACAACGCGAGCGTTTGAACCGGAGTACATCACGGAAGAGCGTTAAGATCCGATAGTAGCAGTGTTCACCACAACCTTTGCAACCAGTTAAGAAGTTGGATTGGAACTCATGTGACCTGATGTCACTGGTGTGTGATCTTTCATCTGACAACGCATTACGTTGGAGTTTGCAGTGGGTTTGATGGTGTTGGACGACGGCGGACGTCTCTGCTTACGTCGCCTACCTGCTGTTGATTACCATTTAGCGAGACGCAAGGAAGCAGTTGAATGGACAGATAGCTACTTTGCCAGGGACAACTGAGCTTCAGTCGTCTCAGCGTTTTCACACAAAGCACATAGAGAACGTTCGTTCTCCTGCAGAGCGTGCTGACGTCTTTTGTTCAAGTCCGAGCAACTTGAAGCGTCAGTTCCACTGGCTCTCGGCCACCGCCGCATCAGTTCATCTCTCTCTCTAAACTAAAAGCTCTCTAGCTCGCTCGCTAATCACCTTATCTCAGTACGCTGCGTCACCCCATCGTTCCACCTTCTTTTGACACAACCGCTCCCATCCATCCTGTCTGTCCTCCATGTTTCGACACAAAATTGCTCTCTATCTGTTTTCAACCAATCCCAGCGTCTCGTTCTTCCGCCAGTCACTCCCTCCGTCGCCGCAACTCGACTGAAAAGCGCTTTTTTCGCCTCCCCATTGGCAGCAGTAGACCAATGAGCAGCTCCCGCTTCAGCTTCGGCGCCTACGACGAGTACCTCCAGACGCAGCCGAGCGGTGCGTCGCAGTCCCAAGCATCTCAGTCGTTCCCCTACACGCAGCAGTCGCAATCGCCCTACACGTTCGTCGACGCCGAGCCGAGCGCCGAGGCGTCGTATTATGACCAATACCAAGCGCCGACGCCCTCGTCGTCGTCGTATTTCGACCAATCCACGATCGCGAAAAACGAATCGAGTTTGCACCAATCAGAAGACGACATGGGCCCTACTTTCCAGCAGCTCACGTTTGACGAGTCACTTGAGGAAGATACTTTTGAAGCCCCAAGCCAACGAGCCAAGGACCTCCCACCTCATGCCTGTGCCTACTGCGGGCTCCACGATCCCGCGTCGGTCGTCAAGTGCGTGGCCTCGGACAAGTGGTTCTGCAACTCGCGCGGGAACACGAGCGGCTCGCACATTATCCAGCACTTGGTCCGGAGCAAGCACAAGGAAGTGTCGCTGCACCCGATGTCGCCCTTGGGCGAGACGGTGCTCGAGTGCTACAATTGTGGCTGTCGTAACGCCTTCCTCTTGGGCTTTATTCCTGCTAAGCAAGACTCGGTCGTGGTCTTGCTCTGTCGCGACCCTTGTCTGCAGATAAATGCGTTGAAAGACATGAGCTGGGACATGTCGCAATGGTTACCGATCATTGACGACCGCAGTTTCTTGCCGTGGTTGGTGAAAATGCCATCGGAACATGAACAGCTCCGAGCACGGCAGATCACGTCGAGTCAGATTGCGAAATTAGAAGAACTGTGGCGCGATAATCCATTGGCGACGGTGGAAGAGCTGAATCGGCCAGGGATTGATGATGAACCGGTCAAGGTCTCGTCAACGTACGATGACGGGTACCAGTACCAGAACATTTTCGGACCTTTGGTGAAAATGGAGTCGGACTATGACAAGAAGATGAAGGAAGCCCAGACACAAGACGGTGTGATTGTGCGGTGGGATACGGGTCTCAACAAAAAACGCAATGCGATCTTTACGTGTTCGCGACCGGATTCGGATTTAAGACTGGTCCCGGGAGACGAGATCCGGCTGCGGTTGGGGCCGACGGCAAGCTTGCTGTATGGGAAAGACTGGGAAGGCACTGGTCACGTGCTTCGGCTGGAAGAGTCGGAAGTCGCACTTGAAATGCGTAGCCATAATGTGCCGCTCGAGATTGCTGACGGCTATTTGGTCGACTTTATTTGGAAGTCAACATCGTTTGACCGCATGCAGGCTGCAATGAAAATGTTTGCGGTGGACGATACGTCGCTCACGGGGTATTTGTACCACAAAATCTTGGGTCATGTGGTCGACGTGCAACCTTTGCGTATTCCGCGCTCCGTCGGCACGCATTATTCGGCTCCTGGACTTCCCGAGTTGAATCCGCCGCAGATGGAAGCAGTGAAAGGTGTGCTGGAGCAGCCATTGAGTTTGATTCAAGGTCCTCCTGGCACAGGAAAGACAGTGACGTCAGCTTCCATCGTGTTCCACATGTCGAAACAAAACATGGGCCAAGTGTTGGTGACAGCGCCCAGTAATATCGCTGTGGATCACCTGACGATGAAGATTAGTGCAACGGGACTTCGTGTGGTTCGTCTCGCAGCCAAAAGTCGTGAGGCCGTGGCGTCTTCGGTGGAACATCTGTCATTGCACGCAATGATCAAGTCGCTGGACTCGCCAGATAGGGCAGATCTGCGCAAACTCATGCAACTGAAGGACGACCAGGGTGAATTGTCGTCACAGGATGAAAAGCGGTTCAAGTCGCTGAAACGTCAGGCCGAGCGCGAGATCTTGCAAGCTGCAGACGTCATTTGTACGACGTGTGTCGGTGCAGGTGATCCACGGTTGTCGAACTTCCGTTTTCGCCAAGTACTGATCGACGAAGCTACGCAGGCTACAGAACCCGAGTGCCTGATCCCGATTGTTCAGGGTGCGAAGCATGTGGTGATGGTGGGCGACCATCGCCAGCTAGGCCCTGTCGTCATGAACAAGAAGGCAGCAAATGCTGGATTGAACCAGTCGCTTTTCGATCGTCTGCTGCTGCTCAACCACCGTCCGTTCCGCCTGCGTGTGCAGTATCGCATGCACCCTTGCCTATCTGAGTTTCCCTCGAACCAGTTTTACGAAGGCGAGTTACAGAATGGTGTGTCTGCGAGTGAACGTCAGCTGTCTAGGGTCGATTTTCCGTGGCCGAATCCGAACAAGCCGACGTTCTTTTACATTTGCCTGGGCGCGGAAGAAATCAGTTCGTCCGGTACGAGTTACTTGAATCGCACGGAGGCCAGTAATGTCGAGAAGATCGTTACGACGTTCCTGAAGGCTGGAGTGCTGCCTTCACAGATCGGTGTTGTTACACCGTATGAGGGCCAGCGTGCTTATGTGGTTAGCTACATGCAGCGTAATGGTCCCATGCGCTCTCAGTTGTACAAGGATGTTGAAGTGGCGAGCGTGGACTCTTTCCAAGGCCGAGAGAAGGACCTGATCATTCTGTCATGCGTACGCTCGAACGAGAATCAGGGTATAGGTTTTTTGAGTGACAAGCGCCGTCTGAACGTGGCTCTTACGCGTGCGAAGTACGGCGTTATCGTGTTGGGCAACCCACGAGTTTTGGCGAAACAGATGCTCTGGAACACGCTGCTGAACCACTACCGCGACAATCAGCTCATTGTGGAAGGACCGCTGAACAATTTGACACCCTCGCACATGCAGTTCCCCCCACCGCGACACCAGGGACGTGGCGCTCCCCGCAACAGTAGCAGCCTTAATCGCCAACGTGAGTCGTTGCCGCCGCTCGACTCGCGCTTTGACCCGCGCTACGACCAATCGGGAGGGCTTCCTTTCGACTTGCCTGGGGCTGGCGGACTGCCCCAGCAGCGTGGAGGTTTGCGCCATGAACAAGACAGTTACGTGACGGAGTCCATGGGCTCGTTTACGCAGGACGGCATGATTCATTCGTCTATTGGATTGACCGACCCGTTCACGCAGACAGCTCAGACACAGTCTTTTAGTCAAGGGTCGAGTGATAAGTTTGGTATGTCTCAAGACAGCTTCATGTACGAGCATGACTACAAGTCGCAGAACATCCCGATGTCTCAAGACACTCGCAATACCGACCGTAACTTCTATTAAGGAATGGATGTACGCGAAGGAACGAAGGTAACGTCGATGAAGCGAGCGTCTACTCGGTGAAGCATAGAGTGGTTCCAGAGAGGGAACACTCGTTGCTTGAAGTGGTGACCGTGGCAATGGCAGCGTTGAAAAAGACGTTTTATGATACGCAGACATGTGCCGGTATCGTGCTGCACGGCTTTGAACGGAAGTGGTGCGTTGGTCCCTTCGGAAGGCGTTGGATTCGACGAGAAGGAGCTCACAGATTCATGAGGTCACGACGGGCGCAATGCGCTGGAGTGGTCTCAGATACCGACCACTGAAGCACTGAAGGTCTCACTGCACTCGCGATGCGCAAGACTGAGTCACGCCGTCGAGAAGTTTGGCAGTCAGGTAAACAGGGGTCTCTTTCAACCTGCTGGTTCTCAATGAATGATTGAAAAAAGTCTCCGTTTTCGTTTTGTTTCGTGCTGCTTACGTTAGCTGTCAAGCTGGGGCTAGATCGTCAGTCAACATCTACTTCTTCCACGCATCGAATGATGTGTCTTTTCGGGAAAAACAAATTACCCATCACGGCAGCTCAAAGCACAACACTGTATGGCATCTATTCTAACTACACAACATCTATCCGAATTGCATTGATTGCATGGGTAATTGACATGGACCGCATCTACGCAAAGGTGTAAATACAGATGGAATCGTGTACAGATTCGTTCTAGCAACTGTATTTTGTTCTTGTGGTAGACCAGCAAGAACGTCTTCTGAAGGCCTCGAAAATCTACGACCGACTGTCCGAGAGAACTCGCGCGGTTTTCCAATTCCAGCGAAGACGTCTTTGATGTATGCGCCTCCACATCTACGTATCGATAAATACATTCGTTCGGAAGATATTCTACTTGGTTCATGGTCATGATTTTTCATGAGGTAATTCATACGATCAAGAACCAGTAAGCTAGAGCACAAGAGTACCTAGGGTAGACTAACTCTGTCGCTGCGTCTACAACTTCTTCTCTTCCATTAAGGTGCTGATTGCGCATAATGTTACGTGCATAATCAATCGAGGACTGCTTGATGCTATCGGGTAAGCTTGAAAAAACGTTTAAAACATCAAGAAGACTTGAGAGTATGCGTTCATTTGCCATCATAGCACGAACCGTATTCAATCAACTGTTTGCGAAACAACACGTGAATGTACATGTCTGGTTCTAACGCCCTGTATCCGTGTGCTTGAACCCTTGTCGAGATATGTACGCTTTCCTACGTGGCTTGCCCACAGCACGTTCACTTTGATATCGCACGGAACCGCAAACTCACTGATCGACGACTACAACTTGGATCGGTAGCCAACACACGAATAGTTTGATGATCGTCCATGCTTTACCGAGGTAGTAGAAAGCGCTTTACAGTCAACGGGTTCACAACCCTGTAGCCTTGTACGGGTACGTGCCATCGAATGAGCCTAGGAATACTGGGAGATGAACACTCTTCTGTTCTCGATTGTATCTACAGATACAAAATGTGTCTGAATACCACCCAAGTCGTTCTCCTCTCCTCCTCACGCGTCCTCTTGCCCAGGACTATCCTTCATCTACATCACAACAGAACATCAAACTGATGAATGGACGCCCGTGCACTACCGCTCCTACTACATTTCGTCTTTCCCTCACAAAAGATCAACCTCTTGTGTAAGCTGCTTGAAAAGCACGTCACGACAATGTTCGCACACTATCTGAAGACGAGGCCAGGCCAAGACTTCATGGTCAAAATCGAATCATGCACGACGTTGTCACCTTCGTTTTTCAACGTCGTCACGAGTTGTAGTGACTACGCAGCATGATGTGATCTCAAGTTGTCGCGTGTCTTTCCTGCGTACGCGCATCCGGATACTTGTACAATGTCAGCGTCACATCAGGTCTACAAGTACGTTCCTTGTATTGGCGATTTCATTAAATAAAGACTAGACTTTCTCCTAACTCGTGCTGCGTGCTTTTTTCTCAAAACCAGAGACGAACTGATGACGCAGAGATCACGGGGCTGAACTGATACTGAAGAAGCTACTTGTACAGTACCGCTCGACGTTATCAGCCGCTGAGACGCGCAAGAAATACTTGGACCCCGACTCCATGCCCCACGGCACCTTGTGGTACGTGAAAAAGCCCGTATTCGGTGCCTTGGCTGCAATCAAAGTCGACGCATTGCGTCCGTCTTCCAGCAACTCAATCCGGAGGGCAGCGACTTTCGAGTCCAGGACTTTCCACTCCACGTCCACGGCTTGGCCTCGAGTCCACACTGTATCCGCTGTAGGTGAAGCCAGCACAATCATCGCACTCCCTGCTTCGTGCCGTTCAGTCAGACGGTGTTGACTCGAACCAGCGCCATTGCGATTGCCATAGACCCACAAATGCTGCAAATGAGGCGGCGACTTGAACGAAGGCGGCAGCGTGCGCTGCAGTGGAGACAGTGGCGGTGGCAGGACAAGTTTGTTGTCCCCTCGTGCCGAGAGGTCGTAGCTCCGTCGTCGCATGTTCGCCCGACTCTCGGCGGACACGGTACTAAACGTATGTCTCCGGTAATCAAGGGCCTCCTGTTGCCGCGTCATCACAGCAATAGAGCCAGTGGACCGGCGTACAAGTGTCGGGTTGAGCTCGTCGATCTTGGCCGATTTTTGCACAGTCCGTCCTGTCTCTTGTTCCCGTCTCCGTCTTGTCTCTTGTTCCTGCAAGTCGTGTCTTACGTGATCATCAGGGTCCGGATCAGAACCCGAGTCGTCGTCGTCATCGTCGGGCTGCGTGCGATCCGCAACATAAAAAGGCACGGCGGGAAACGAGAGCAGCGACGGGTCGTGCTTCACTTGCTGCTGTTGCAGCTGCTTGGGCTTCGAATCGGCCGCTAAAGGCGACGGCTCGCTGCTGCTGTTGGTCGGACTCGAGGTACGATCCCGCACGTGGACGACAGTGGGATCCATGAGGAGACACTGACACGCAGCAGTGACGAGCGACTTGGTCAGCAACGACCGACGTGGCAATTGCTGTTGCTGTTGCTGCTGTTGCTGCGGTGGCTCTAGAATGCGTTTGAAGTGCGTGTCAATAGGAAGCGACGACGACGACGACGACAATGGTAGGAGAAACGGCCGCACGAGGCAGTCGACGAGCAAAAGACTGAGCCGAGCGAGACGCGCTCCCCAGCGCTCGCCAGGCTCGTGGTCGGCGTCACGGCACAGACTAGAAATCGTGGCGGGCGGGCGAACAACCAGCGCCCGAAGAGCTCCTAGTTTCCTCTTCTTCCTTGTGTTTATAACGAGGAAAAAGGCGGCGACAGCGACGACTGCGACAGCAGCAGCAAGCGCGCGGCGGTTGGTGCGGTCAGCGCAAATTGGAAAATGGACGAGGAGGACGCACGGCGCAAAAAGGAGGTGAAGCGGGTGTCGGTAGCAGTAGCGGCAGTGCTGAAGCGGGCAGACGAGCCGCCGCGAGGGGCGTGCGTTGGAATCAACGAATGAGCGCGCGCGGACGTGGCCGCTCGCGTCCGTCGCGTCTGCTGGCACGCCACAATGGACTATATCAAACCCGCGACTTTTGTGTCTGCTGCGGCGACAAGAGACGGGCCAGCCGTCCTGGCTCCTACTATGTCGCTGCTTCCAATCGAACGTTAGCTCGGTGCGGATTGGGTCCCGCGCGTCGTTTGGTCTCCTCTCTTTTTGGTCGTTTGCGTCCTTCTGCCAGATCACGTTTTTTTTTCGGCCGGCGTGCGGGCGATACACAAAGTGGACGCAAATCAGAAAAAAAGCGCCCGCCTTGAAGCTGGCGTAGCGCTAAAAATACATATCGAGAGCAACCGTCGGCCAGTGGCGTGCTTTATATAGAAAGTAGTGACGCCACGTGATACGTTCGTTCACTAGTGACGGACGACGGCAGAGACAAAGAGTCGCGCGTGGCGTCAGTGAAGCCCACAAGTCACACGGATGCCCTTCACTTTTTTTAATCTATTTTTCAGTCCCTTTTTCCGGCATTTTCGCAATGACCGCCAGCTGGTGGCGGTTCAAGCGTCTCACATCTGAGCAAGGAGCAGTCTCGCTTTTTCTACCACGTTTTGAGCGCCAATAGTTCTTTGTTGATAAGGAAATGGACGACCTCGCGAGAACGAAGCAGAGCTTCGGTCCTGGTCGAGACATCCATCGACTTGATCTTCTCCTCCTCCTTCTCTCTCTCTCTCTCTCTCTGGACAGCGCACGAGCGAAAACGACGGTCGTCGACCAGTACGCCCCAGTCGAAAGTGTTGCTGAAAACAACACCTACCCGTCTGTCGAGTCTCCATGTGACTCCTTTTTTTCCAAGCAAAGCCCTGTCTGCTGAAATGGCCGCAATGGCTTGCTGAGGTAGCCAGCCGCCGCCAAAAGTCTGTACCGCGCGTGAGCGCATGGTCCGTAATCTTTGCCCTGTCGTCGTCCTCGCCAGCTGAGAATTTCTCTGGCGAGCATACGCCTCGGCACATAGCGCAGGCACGAACCGCGTCGAAATGGCCCAAACTCGTTCCTGAATTCAAGGGACGTTACGTTTGTATGGACGTGGGTGTATCGAAACGTTGAGGTCGCTCGATCGCCCGCGTGACATGCAGGATGGAGCCGCAGGGGCTTCGAATTTAGTGGATTCTCCATCCCCGATTTGCCGTCTTTGGGTTTCTCTAGCGATCGCTCACTCCCTGCTTGCTACTGCGGGCGGAACAGAGTGGGAGGGACGTCCGTACACGACCGTTAGAGAGCTCAAGTTAAAACACGGCCAGCTGCTTCCGTGGTCGCAGGAATTACCCTCGCAGCCCCGTGAGAAGTGACTGCAGCAGGCAGGAAAAACGGACACTTTGGTGGCGTCTTCAACCTCGAGGTCTCGTTTCTGTATGGCCACACGTACATACACCACCCACCCGTACATGCGACAATAGGTAGGTAAACTCTTGCGTTCTTTATGCATATGGCCATACAAAGTGGTTCCTGAGGCGGCAACTACCTACTCCAGCACTGCTACTGCTGGTACTGGCGATGGGATATCATGTCAAGTCCTCTTGCCACAGGCGCCTGGATGCTGCATTGTTGGCTATTTTTTAACCGTCTCGGGGAATTGGACATAAGCGGATGGGCTCCGTTATTGGGTTTCGATGTCGCCGCGACAACGGTGAGACGTCGCAAAAAGGAAGGGAGTTGTTAACGGCTATCTTTGCCACATGAAACTGTAGGCATGTGGATGTGCGGTCACAGGAGGTTGCAAGTCCTAGTACATACCATTGATCGGTATGTAGTGCGTATCATTGATTGGCAACAGAGCGGATCGCGCTCAGCAGAAGCCAAATGTTTGTGTCGTCCTATGACCTCGAGGTGCATTACTTGCAGTACTGCTGGTGTCGTTGTACGAAGAGCTGTTGCCGAAAGATATGAACGGCGTGTGTGGAGCGCCTTGGAAGTCGACGATCTTCTCTGTTGTCGTTCATCATTCACACTGTACCGCGTGAGCTGCTCCAGACGGATGCAAAGCGTAGGATGGAGTCGTGGCGGTGGAGCGACACGCACACACCCACACTCACACACGGTGCCACGATGGTTACTACCATTACACCGCAGCGTGGAAGTTATACTGAGCTCAGCAATCCATCTTTGCAACGTCCTCCTCGTCTGCTGCGGGACCGACACGACACGGACGATGAACCTCTTACTGCCGCTACGATGGACACGAGACACGGCTTTACGGAGGTAGAAACGGAGCTCCATAGCCAGCGTGGCAGAAAAGCCCCCTCTCATCTCCATTAGAGCTGAAGAGCACGTCAGTCCGCATATGGTAAGAGAGACGATCTTGGATCAGACGGACGGACGGACGGACCGACCTGCTCGAGCAACCGATTCTTGACACGATACGAATCAACGGTCGAGCGTGGACTGCAAAACACGTGTGCACGCTGCTGTTACAAGCGCTTCTCGCTGTTGCTTACACGATACGAGACCATCCGGAGGATTCGACCACGAAGACAGCGTCGGTCTCGAGTCTCGTTCGAGCTATTTCCACGCAAACGAGAAACGAGACGCTGTTGTTGTATAGTTGACGTTGTAGGACTTCAGAGGTCTTGCTTGACTATGCGTGAAGAGGGGCAAGTTGCTGGGTAGATACGATGTCGTGGACAATCCTGGCACGAGGGCTCCTTCTTGCTACGTGGGAGGGCACTTGCGTACGTGAATGTACTCTACCGACCGTCAGTCGCTACTACACAGCTGCAGTCCTCGTCTGTCCGACTAGATGCCTCCAATCCCCTGCTGCTCTTTTGCTGTAGACTTGGTCGTCGTAGGCTATTGACAAGCTCAAGCTCAGGCGGGACGACCTTTACACTGCAGTGTGCTACGAAGAGACACGTACTCGAACATTGTTCCGATTGTGCCGGAGGAGGACTCAGGCGCCCAGTCTTGAGGCTTTGCGGTACACAAATCTGAGTCCGTGACACGCACAAAGAACAAGCACGTCGAATAGGATCCGGGTCTTGGATGCGTGTGAGATACTATCGAGTTGCGCTTCTGGACAGTTGGTTCAAATGGGTATTGTCGAGTGCCTCTCCCTATCTGATCAATCAGGTCTCTGCAAAGAGTTCCGTGCCAGAGTAAACACTGGGTGCTACAGTAGCTTTCCCGGCTTCTGTATCAGAGGATCCGAAGGAGGAGCAGTCGAAGGGCAGCGTCGTTCGATTGGGTGCGTCCAGCAGTCGCAAGAGCTTCAGCTTGAAGTGGACAGAATGATATTCAGCATTGCAAATCGACCATTGACGTCGATTTCCAGGTAAGCTCCAGTCTGCCATGTGCCACTGATGGGACGAGGTTGCCTCTTGTTCGTCATTGTTCTTTGCATAAACTTTCTTGGCAGATCACCTTCGTGGTTTACACTTTAGCTGAGCTTAATGTGCTGGAAACAATAAGTGTCACTTGAACGTGTGACCTGCCCTCATCTTTCCACAAGCGTGACGACACATCTCACAAACGTTCAGTGCTCGATTGCGCACAAAGGCTCTACAACTGATACCGTGCAACATGGTGTGAGTATCTTTGAATTGCACAAATGCGAGCTTTGCGGTAGGTAGAAGGAGTGGATGGGATCCAATTACTGCCAGTCATGTATGTCATGGGGACTGCACTCCTCAAAGCTCTAGTCGACTTTTCCTTCCGCTTATCGACCGCAGCGGACCGTCCAGTACTCCTTTGCGAAACAATGCGAAAGACCGAGACGTTGATCCACACAGTACTCGATCACAAAGTTTGCAGCATGATACCAGCAAACTCGCCATTACGCTTGTCTCGCAATTCGGATGGTGGGCCGATTTCCACAATGCGTCCCTCCTTGAGTACCACAATTTTGTCGTAATCAAGAACCGTATCCACACGGCGGGATATCGTTAGGACCGTAGCCTCGGTAAACTCTCGACGGATTGTTGACTGGATACGCTCATCTACATATTCAGAATAGCAATTGTTGATAATGCACAATCACACATACACACACATCGGTCCGTTCTACATCACACTAAAGTTTCTTTCGCGTACCCGTTTCGTGATCCATTGCAGTTGTGGCCTCGTCGAAGCACAGTATTCTGGAGTTACGCAGGATTGCACGTGCAAGACCCATCAGCTGTCGCTTACCGATACTGAAGCTTGTACCTCCCTCAAGTTCGGCATCTAGACCACCGTCTAAACCCTTGACAAACGCTTCTAGGCCCACCTTCCCGAGTGCAGTCCACATTTCGTGGTCAGTGCTTTGACGCGTCGGATCGAGGTTAAACCGTACATTTGCCGCAAAGAGAACCGGGTCTCGTGGGATGATAGCCATCCTTGATCGCAACTCAGTCAGTGTCAGAGCAGTTGTACATACTTGATCGATATAGATACTACTACTTTCGTTATCAAATGATACCATTCGATACAGCGCAAGAAGAAGGGTGCTCTTTCCAGCTCCAGCACGACCACAAATGCCAACTTTCTCACCGCCTTCGATGCTAAATGAAACGCCGTGAAGCGCCGGTAGTGCATTTCGATCGTACTTGACGCAGACGTTGACAAAATCGATTCTTCCATGCTCAGGCCAATGAGGTCGTAGCTGTAGTGCACGCGACTTGAGTGAAGTAAAGCGTTCATAATGATGCACAAGTAACGTCACTGGTTCGGACTCAATGTGGCGATACGCGCGTGTCCGTTGCACGCTTGTCATCATGTCCGTCACATCGATACTGCTTCGAATGATCGAATCAAGTAGTAACGTCATATCTTGCGAGTAGCACAGTAGCAAGCCCGCCATGGCGCTCGAGAGTACCAGGTAGTTGCGACTGACAAAAAACGCGACGGCATAGGTCATCAGTGCACTCAATAGCTCCAATCTGACGCTCAACCAGCAATGTACCAGGTTTAGTGAAAGAAGAGCCCTCGTGCTCTCATTCATCTTCAATGCTGCTGTGCTTTGACTCTGTTGAATTACACCAAATGCTCGGATCGTTGCGAGTCCATTGAGTGTCTGCGTAAAGTGGTCGTACAAACAACATCTGGAAACGCGGTCCAAGCGGTGCAATTCCAGACAAGACTTATTGCAATATCGTTGGTACCAGATAGAGCAGATAAATAGTAGAATCAGCAGAACCAACAGCATAGGAGCCATAGAGCTCTGGATCACCAGCATGCTCAATAATGCAAGGGATGTCGTAACACATTGCACAATGGCCTTGTTCAGTTTTTCGTCTGTAACATCGTAACGAGAACAATCCGTACTTAGTCTCACGATGGTAAATTGTGCAGCATGAATCTTTGCCGTGTACCAATGATGTACATGTCGTGTGAAAATCGATTGAGAATGCAGCCAACGGAATTTGTATGGAAGAAGCGCAGTGTGCCCTTGATAACGCTGTGCAAGAAGGAATGATGAACTTGTTTCGATGCACTAACAGAAGTAGATTAGTACACACTCGTATACACGTTAGCACAAAAAGAGAGCAAAAGCTTACCGAAGCCCAGCATATTGGCAGCAGAGCTCTCCCACAAACCCAAGGGAGATGGTACTTAGACCGAGGTAGGCATAGAAGGTGAGGTAAAAGACCGAGTCGACCCCAGCGGCGCTATTGCTGGTCCACTTTGTCAGCCAGAAATCTGTCGATATGGACACGACCTGCTTCGTGAATAGAAGGACGAAGGCCCCGACCGTCGATAGAGTGCCGCACGATACGAGGTACGATAAGAATACGTTCCACGACACCTGACCCGCAGATTTCTCTTCGTCCTGCTGTGACACATCGACGCAAGAGTTTGACCGTGCATCAGATTGGATCATTTCCAAATCTTCCGCTGGGTCATCAGGAACAATCGCACGCTCAACAACAGGTTCTTCAGCAGGATGGTACATTCTGAGCATCGATGCAAATTTTCCGTTCGCTGTGACTTGTGTGAGGTCCTGATACGTTCCCATCTCAACGACGCGCATGTTATCCATGACTATAATCCAGTCCGCTAGATGAGCAAATTGTACCGCATGAGTACTTACGACCCGCGTGAGGCCAGCCAAAAGCCCACCCGTCAACTCGCTAAAACATTGGTGGAAAATTCGGGTGGCAACATGGACGTCCAAGGCTGATAATGGATCGTCAAAGACATAGAGCTCCTGCTCTTTTGGATATAAGGCTCGCGCAATCGAAAGGCGCTGCTTCTGGTCGTCGCTTAGCGTTATGCCATCTTTACTGATTTCGCTCTGGAATCCATTCGGAAGACGTACGAGCTCTTTCTCCAATTCGCAGCACTTCACAACCCGGTGAAGACGAGCGGTATCCAGTGGAGCGCCAAAGAGGACATTTTCTTGGACGCTAGCGTCGATGATGTAAGGCATTTGAGCTGCGTATGATATATATCGTGAAGGGAAGCGCACCACGCCGTATTCAGGTTGCAGCTCTCCTAGTATTGCGGCTAGAAGAGCCGATTTGCCACTTCCAGCACCTCCAACAACGAGGGTCAGCTTGCCTTTTGGTACAGAAATTGTGACATTCGGAAGCTGAGGAAGCGAGACACCTTCCTCACGAGCTCCTGTTAGTAGCTCCTCTGTGTCCTTCCACTTGAATGTTGCATGGCGGATCTCAAACGATGGATCATCAATGAAGGAACTGGATCGCGCTGTCGGAACGCGCTCGCGCTGTTTCAGATGAAGAAAAGCCTCCACGCGTTTGATGGATCCAGTTGCGATACAAATCAATGGCAAGACTTGCGGCAGCGTCATGAGTGTCGGCCGAATAATACTGAATAACGCGATCGCGGTGAATGCCTTGTCAGCCGTCAGTGGTTTGCTTTCAAGGTACGAGTACGCAGCAAATGTACCGAACGACACGAGCACAGGTCCTGCCTGCTCAATAGCACTTCGACAAGCGTTCCACATGACCATTTTCTTTTGAAAACGTCGTTCTTCCTCTCGAAGGGCATCAACCTGTCCCAGCAGCTCGCTCTCCCAAGCATAGAACTTGACCACGCGAATGTGCTGGCACAAGTCCGTAAGAAACGTGAGCCGCTTGTTCGTGCAGTCAGCCAACTTGGTCGATGTACTGGCCGTCAGCGATGATAACGCTGACTTTACCATTGGCAAAAGAATCATAATCACAGCACTGACAAGTGATGCAGGACCGATGCACTGGGTCAATAGAATAAGTCCAATAACCAAGTGGATCCCGGCTGCCCATACACTGTGGATCTTGCTCCAAAGCTTGAAAATCCCGTCAATGTCCACTGTGACGAGATCCATAAGTTTTGGTAAACCCACTGAGCTTTGGGTCTGCGCTGACAACGTGAGGGACTTTTCGTACACGAGCATTGTGAGTGCCGCGCGGACTCGAGTGGCTTCTCGCATACTCAAATGCTGGCATTGCTGCAGGCAGAGCGTCCGTAGTATCGAAGCTGCAAAGAGGACGAAACTGAAGATGTAGCCATTTGAGGGAATGGAGCTCCACGCTGGCGTGGGAGATTCAACGTACTGAATTAACGCAAAGAAACAGACGGGGCGGACGAACGTCAAGCAGTCGCCAGTGAGTTTACACGTCCCGGCTAGGTACATGTTGAAGCTGAAAAACACCTGTCGAAGCGAGAGCTTGAGCGATTGGCTGTTATTTATAGCGACCCGCAGAGTGTTGGTCACCTCAACTGTGTCGTCAGCCGACTCTAAAGGCCATAAATCTGAGGCTTTAAGCGGCTGCGACGCGCCGCGATCGAGCAGTGGACTGAGCGAACTGAAAGTGAGACGCGATAGCCAATTGGGACGCGGACTTGACACTGGAGCCTGGGACGGTGGTTCATTGAGACGACGCGTCTCGGCTCCCGCATGCAGCGGAAGCATGGGCGAAGTCTCATTTGGCGTCATTTGAGGGTGAAGTGGTGACGTCAGGGAATCAGATCGAACCCATTTTTGTAATTTGTACCAATTGGCGTGCGTCATGACATTTAAAGTTGATAGTTTTTATTTTTAGAGGTTAGCCGAAGATCTAGAATTTGGGAACGAGTAGAGAGACAATGGGTAGTCATTAAACTGAATGCTGTGGAAAACTAGTCTGCAAACCTTGCACATCAGGCATTGACTTCAAGTGGCGTATTGCGGAAATTCGGTTCTTTCAGGATACCCCTAGCGACAAGTCAGGCAGCATCTATCAGGTCCGTTAATATGTTGCCGAGCTTCTATGCGGCGACGAATGATGAGCAAGGCAAATGTGCACCATCAGTGACTTATAAAATACCAGCAGCTGACATAGCAATCGACGTCAATGGTCGATTTGCAATGCTGAATATCATTCTTTCCACTTCAAGCTGAAGCTCTTGCGACTGCTGGACGCACCCAATCGAACGACGCTGCCCTTCGACTGCTCCTCCTTCGGATCCTCTGATACAGAAGCCGGGAAAGCTACTGTAGCACCCAGTGTTTACTCTAGCACGGAACTCTTTGCAGAGACCTGATTGATCAGATAGGGAGAGGCACTCGACAATACCCAGTTGAACCAACTGACCAGTAGCGCTACTCGATAGTATCTCACACGCATCCAAGACCCGGATCCTATTCGACGTGCGTGTCACGGACACAGATTTGTGTACCGCAAAGCCTCAAGACTGGGCGCCTGAGTCCTCCTCCGGCACAATCGGAACAATGTTCGACTACGTGTCTCTTCGTAGCACACTGCAGTGTAGAGGTCGTCCCGCCTGATCTTGAGCTTGTCAATAGCCTACAACGACCAAGTCTACAGCAAAAGAGCAGCAGGGGATTGGAGGCATCTAGTCGGACAGACGAGGACTGCAGCTGTGTAGTAGCGACTGACGGTCGGTAGAGTACATTCACGTACGCAAGTGCCCTCCCACGTAGCAAGAAGGAGCCCTCGTGCCAGGATTGTCCACGACATCGTATCTACCCAGCAACTTGCCCCTCTTCACGCATAGTCAAGCAAGACCTCTGAAGTCCTACAACGTCAACTATACAACAACAGCGTCTCGTTTCTCGTTTGCGTGGAAATAGCTCGAACGAGACTCGAGACCGACGCTGTCTTCGTGGTCGAATCCTCCGGATGGTCTCGTATCGTGTAAGCAACAGCGAGAAGCGCTTGTAACAGCAGCGTGCACACGTGTTTTGCAGTCCACGCTCGACCGTTGATTCGTATCGTGTCAAGAATCGGTTGCTCGAGCAGGTCGGTCCGTCCGTCCGTCCGTCTGATCCAAGATCGTCTCTCTTACCATATGCGGACTGACGTGCTCTTCAGTTCTAATGGAGATGAGAAGGGTCTTTTCTGCCACGCTGGCTATGGAGCTCCGTTTCTACCTCCGTAAAGCCGTGTCTCGTGTCCATCGTATGCGGCAGTAAGAGGTTTATCGTCCGTGTCGTGTCGGTCCCGCAGCAGACGAGGAGGACGTTGCAAAGATGGATTGCTGAGCTCAGTATAACTTCCACGCTGCGGTGTAATGGTAGTAACCATCGTGGCACCGTGTGTGAGTGTGGGTGTGTGCGTGTCGCTCCACCGCCACGACTCCATCCTACGCTTTGCATCCGTCTGGAGCAGCTCACGCGGTACAGTGTGAATGATGAACGACAACAGAGAAGATCGTCGACTTCCAAGGCGCTCCACACACGCCGTTCATATCTTTCGGCAACAGCTCTTCGTACAACGACACCAGCACTACTGCAAGTAATGCACCTCGAGGTCGTAGAACGACACAAGCATTTCGTTCCTACATGAGCGTGATCCACTTTTTTCTTACACACCCACAAGTCGGATGATAGCCGATTGATGTGAATGTTTTCAGCACATGCACTACCTCCTTCTCTTCTTCCTAGCTTTTCACTGGTAGTGTCCTAATGCACTGCTTGCACACAAGCAGCTATACATTATTGTATTGCCAATCAAAGGTATGTACTCGTTGTCCATTCTTTCAGTCAAAGTGCAGTTTTCGCTGGTGTATTGACGATTATAGACGTAATTACGAAGATCGGATGCGCATTTGTACTGCGATCGTATCACTTGTGTGACACTTGCACGTCCGTCGTCCGCAAAAACAACGTCGCTTCATCATGTCAATCCGGACAGCCTTCCAATCCTTCATTCGGATAAGTACGGAACGAGAGCCGTTCCACAAAAATCAATGCACACCCTTTAGAAACAGACTTCCTCTCTTCCGTTTCTATTTCCTGCGGCAAATGAAGTACCAATCTGGAGGAGACGTTTTGTACCTCAACTCACCCACCGAAAGGTGGACGTCAATACCGGTATCCAGTACCGTCCAGTTCGCCCAAAGTTCGAACTTCCATTCTGCAACCATCTCACACCTGTCAAACACGATTTGGGAATCTTGCGTCATCAGCCCGTACCCAACACGCCGTCCAATGCCCAAAGCACGAAAGGCAACGCCCGTCCAGGTCTTCCCTCCATTGCTGCGTGTCCGCACTGTGAGCTCATCCAATGGCCCCACGCAAGACACGCGCATCCTCTACCACCACCGGCAGGAAACGCCGAGCAGCAGCCCCACGCCGCCATCGTCAAGCAGCTACCGCTCCATCCACCACGTCCGAAACCAAGTCAGGCACGGTGGACTCAGATTCTACCATTCCGACTCAGATTTCGAATCCAAGTCGGATTTTGGATAATATCGACTCTGATTCGCTGAAAACAACAACAACCGGTATTCTATCCGGTAGGTTTTTCTCCCAAGTCAAAAGTACCGACCAATCAGCGCTCTCGAAACGTCTTCAATTGACGTGGACCACACTCCAGCAACTCCCAAACAAACAACAGCGACGAGACGACGCAATCATCGGCGACGCTCACGTCGCCGAGCAGTTGAATCTCGTTGCTGCCGAGCTCGTGCAGCAGCCAATCATCGGGCACGAAGACCCGACCGTCCGGTCTCTTGTGGCCTGCTGTGTCGTCGAGCTCCTGCGCGTGGCGTCGCCCGAGTCGCCCTTTCGCTCCGACGAGGTGCTCTATCGTGTTTTTCAGCTGCTGCTGGAGCAGCTGCGGGCGCTGGCCACCGCGTCGACGAGCACTTATTATTTGTATGTGCTCGAGAGTCTCGCAGCTGTGAAGTCGTGCGCGCTGGCTGTGGGATGCCACTTTACAGTGGACAAAGACGAGGACGAGGTCCTGGTGCAGCTGTTTCAAGCGCTGTTTACGACGATCCAGCGTGGCCATTCAGTGAAGATCGCTCACTTGATGCTGAGTATACTCGTGACGTGCATGGAAGAAGCTGGTGCGGTGGAACAGCCGCTGTTGGATACAATCTTGAGCCAGTTGGTGAGTCAAGAGGAAGCTGAGGAACGTGCTGGAAACGTGGACGACGATGCTGATGGTGGTGGCGACGCTGCAGGCTGGAGCTCGTGCCGCTTGGCACGGGAGTTGATACAAAGAACAAGTGATGTATTACAGAACCCGCTGTCAACGCGTCTCAACAGTTTGTTGATTGATACGACAGGCCAATTTTCGGGCTCGCAGAAAACTGCCGAGTTGAAGGAACATTTGGATACGTTGATCTATGACGTGCACACGATCAATCCATCGCTGCTGTTATACGTGCTTCCAAACGTATGCCTGAAGCTCCAGGCGGACGACGTTGCGACGAGATCGGGTGCTGTTGCGCTTATGGGCAAGCTGTTTGCGTCTCCGCATGCTGATTATGGTCACCAGTATATGAAGAACTTTTGCGAGTTTTTGGGTCGGTTTCGTGACGCGAGTAAGCAAATTCGCATGCAAATGATTCAAGTGTGTGTGACGATCTGGGAGCGCAAGGCTGATTTAGCTAGTCTTTTAGAGAAAGAGTTTATGTTGCGGCTGAGCGACCCGGAGTGGGAGGTGCGGCAGCTTGTGGTCCACGAATTGTGTGACTTTGCAGCAAATTGCTTGGGGGTGATTAGTGAGACGTGTCTGCGAGCCGTAGCAGAGCGCATGAAGGACAAGAAAGTGACGCTGAGAAAAGAAACAATGACGGGTCTCAGCCAAGTTTATAGTACGCACATTTCCGCTTACTGGGAATTGGACGAGGCAGAAGAAAAAGGATTATTGCCACTCAGTCACCACAATGTTTCTGCAATCGATGTGAAGAAGTTAGGATGGATTCCGGACTACGTATTGAAGTGCTACGCATACCCTCAGCAGGAGCTGAAACTCCGCGTCATCCAGCTTTTGGATGACTTTCTTTTGCCGAAAGCTCTATCAGAGCGAGCTCGCACAAATGGGCTTCTTTTCATCTTCCAGGCTCTCGATTCTACGTCGAGGGAAGCGCTGCGACGTATATTCAGGGAACGGGCCAAGTGTCAGGAAGTTTGCAGGCACTTTGTCGAGTTCAAAGCACAGCAACGTCACAAAGAGCTCCCCACAGGGACTGAAACTGGTGCATTGAGGGAGAACGCAACGCAGCAGCTGCGCAAAGGACTTGCGCCTCTCTTTTCGGACATCAGCGGACTGGACAAGCTCTTGGATCGATTGTCAACGTGGAAGGATCATAGTGTGTTTAAGCATCTGGGTGTTTTGTGTGACTACTCAAAAAGTCAGCAGGATATCCGTCATGCGAGAGATCAGTTGGTCCGATGTGTTGGATCAAAAACTCCACTAGGGGAGTTGTTGAAGAAAGTGTGTCGCAAGCTGTCATTATTGACACTGAATCGAGCTTCTGTTGCTGCCTTACTGGATGTCTTGATTGCAAAGGAGGGACGCCTGTCAAAAGAGTACCGCAGTGCTGTCGATCTTATGGTGATGACATCCAGTGAGCTACCAGAACTATTTGCGCCGTTTATTCACAGCAAAGTCTCGGCAATATTGACTCAAAGCAAGGATGATCCGATTGAGAGCGAATCTGACGAAGAGGATATTGTGTCTAAAGATCCACGGGTGATTCTTGGGGCTTTGCACGTTCTGGCCAGTTGTCCGCATCACCGGGTCGTTGCTTCCGATGGAGACGATGCACCGGCGGCGGACGAAGGACGCAACATGCCGTCTGCAGCGTTGGTTGACCGGCTTCACAGCTTTTGTATCGGGGATAGCAACGTCGAAGCACAGAAATTTAATAATGCAAAGGAAAGCCAGGCAGCAAAATTGGCAGCTATCGTCCTTTCCCGCTTTAATGGAGGCAAGGATGACCTGGCGGGGTTGGTCAGCAAGCTGTGCTCAAAGGAAAGAATAGGTTGTGCTGACAATTCTGGAGCTGCAGCAGCATTGCAGAGTCTGGGAGTTTTTGCAAAGCGTTGCAGCTATATATTTTCCGAGGATAGACCACTCTTCTTACGCCTGTGGACGCACTTGCTTAATGGCTTGATCGGGAAGGGCAATCAAGCGTCAGCACCTGCTACACCGGGATCTAAAGCCCGCAACCACAAGGGCTCCAGGCTGCCTGCTATCAAACTAGCAGAGGTTCGTAGCTTAGCTATAAAGGTGGCAGTGAACCTGATCGTGTACTGCGGACCCGTAAGAGACTCGTCGACTTGGCTTGATGAAGGTGTGCAGTTGATTAAGCTGCTTTTTGGAATACTCCGCTCGGACGGAACAGCATATGCGTCAACACCAAGTTTGTGTGCCAAGTTACGAGCCGCTGCGTCGTGTGGTCTCATGAAAGTTATGCGTATTCGACAGCTAGAGACCTCGATGTCGGTATCTGAGTGGCACCTGCTCGGCTATACGATGCAAGACTCGAACGAAGATGTTCGCCGCAAGTTTTTGAAAAAGTTGACGTCTCACTTGATCAAGCATTCCGTTCAGCATCAACACAAGTACCTCAGCTACTTGGCGCTCGCTGCAACTGACTCCAACACTGGTTTGAAGAAAGCTGCACGAAACTTGCTCAAGGTTGGTGTAGAACGTATGCGACGTGCATTTGACGCTGCGTCTGTGTGCGAATCGGATGAGTTCAGCAGTCCTGGTCAAACGGGAAATGACGCACGTAGTATGAGTGCACTGATGGTGCCGGAGTACGCGTTGCCATACGTCATTCATCTTTTAGCCCATCACCCCGCATACCCGGTGAAACTCGTGGAGACAACACCGTCATATACGGTGATGCAAAGCGATCAGTGGTCTGACCAGCAAGCGTACCTAGGTTTTTTCCTGGATGGTTTGGTCTCTGCAAATGCTGCAGCGGCAGACAATATTGCTTTCCTGCTTCAGCTTTTGACCAAGCTCTCGCAGTGCCACGACGTATCGAATCCCGATGACATCAATATTTATCCTTTACTCGATAGCGCCGTTACCCTGCTCAAGAAAAAGATCAAGAAACAGTCAAACCTGAAGCCGTTTCCAGGACGGATTTATTTGCCGAAGCATTTGTTCAGCCCTGGAAGACCCAGCACGCTCGCAACTCCTGGCGGAAGGAAGGAGCCCGAGGCACCCGAATCACTGGAGACGACTAAAGCACCGAGGAGACCAAGACTCAGCGTACGTGCCATTGCTCGGGCTCGTCCGACAAATCTGTCCTGTTTTGCCTTCTACTAATTCGTGTATGTTGGACAACCGCAGGCCTCCTTGTCACCCATCAAGGCCATGGACGTTACAGCTCATTTCATGAAGATAAACTCTCCATGTGAAAGCTCACTGCTGCAGAGTACTATGAAGAAGCGCAAACGACAACTACTCGAGGCAGACGGAAGCTACTCGGATACGGAGGAGGCCAAGAATGATGCCGAAGGTGCACGCAAGTTGTTGACAGCATCGTCTCGGCGCCAGTCGTTGCTGGGAAGTGATCGACCGAGGAAACGGACATTCGCAGACGATCCCAGCGAAATTGGAGCTGAGGCGGACACGCATATCGGCATTCAACGTCACTTAGCGGCCAACTAACGACCATCCTTTATCACTCACGGAAGCACGCGATCGGCTGCTATGGACGTGCCGATGTGGAGGCGCAGGAGCAACCGGCCAGCGGAGCGGAGAGACAGCTGCGAGCCTATCAACCTTCAGAGGGTTAGATAAACGAAGCAGCACTTGCGTACCGCTCACACGAGACGTTCTCTATATCGAGTCGTGATCGTGTTCTGGAAGTGAGTGAACTTGCACGCATCAATCGATCCGTTCTTTGATCGAGGACTGCACCCCAGCACGCAGCTCCATGCATTTGCGCTGTTGGTTTTTGATGCTACCATGACCCTGTGATACTTAATGATTACCAGTGTGTTCACGTTCGTGTGCTGCAGCTATGATTTGTAGTTTGTGCTGCCCAGCGCTCGGAAGATCGACGTCGGTTCAACATCACGACGGGAAAAAAGGCGGAACGGCAGTCAATATCGACAAGCTGACAATCCATTCCTACCTTTACCCTTCGCTTCGAAGTATCTGCCAGTCGCTGGCAAAACTTGGCAACCAGTCACAATGCAGTGCAGCACCTTGCAGGTATTGGACGCAGGCTATAGAGCCGAATGCGTGAAGTGGTATAAATGCGAGGTGGTGGTGTGTATTCAACGAACGACGTGGAGTTTTGTCTGTGTTTTGCATCATGTTGAAGACATAATTTTCTAGTCTAACTCTTTGGAAAGCAGATTTGCGTCCTCCTAGTTCGTGAGTAATCCTCTCGTAGCGATCGTGATTGCAGAAGAAACGAAGCATTGACGAGCCCTCATTACACTCGCTGCTGCAAGTGATGGCAGTAGATGCTAGCATGAAAATCCAGACAACAGGCAACCTCATGTGCAGTGATGTGAGCTCTGATGTGTCCAAATGGAACGACGCGATGGAGAGTATACTCAGTGCTTGATCGAATCACCTATCCAACAAAACGAAGCTGTCGTGTTGCTCCGATACGGTCGTTCATGCTGCTCGTGCTACTAGCCTACGTCCCATAACCGTATATCTGCACCGCAACAACCTTTACCGGTTGACAAGTGGGTACTAGCCGGACGTCGCGAGTACTTCGCGCATAAACATGTAACTTGCGGGTCATTTTTCACGTGTTGTAGGCTGCAATTCGCTGAGAAGGCAGCGCTCATCAAGGTGACTTGGTAGATCTCCCAAGGAAAAAGTTGGTCCTGACATGGATTGTTCACTGTCTCGTTCTCCGTTTGCCCAGTAAGTATTTGTTCATCTCCAGGTCAAGAGCTTGTTGGGACAAGCCTTCATCTACGTACAAATTTGTTACAGCTCAGCTGCTAGTAGTTGTTTACCTCATGCTAATTATCGAACTCAATCGATACAAGCTGCCAAAGCACAGCAAAAAGCGTATACAGGTAAAACCTTGAAAGTAGGAAACGAAGAGCAGTAGTCTGCTACAAATGTTTGGATCAGGGTTACGTTTTTGGGTATCGACAGAAGCAAGGTTTCTAGCCTCTGCTATCTATTCGATGCACATACATAAACATTGAAAGGGCCCCAAAGTTTACGAGCCGAAATGACGATGACGTCCACATGTATACGACACGCTTGTTGTATCAGGGTTGAGTTGTGCTTGTAGATGGTTAATAGAGGTACTGCGACTCTAAGAACGTTATAATCAACATGTCATGTCCCTTTAAATTCGCCACCAAGAAGCATGTATAATGTCTGGAAACACACGATCGTTTGGTCGTCGGTCAATTTGAATAGTGTAACACTTAAAGCTCAATAATCTTTGACATGCTGCTTGAATTCCAACAAAGCCAAATATTCCAATACGAAAAACAAGGATAGCAAGGAAAATGTCGGCATATCCGATTGTAACGGGGTGAATCGTTGCATAACAATTTATAAGAAATTTGTTAATAGAATATAACTATAAGAGTTATATCCACAGAATATTGTCATAAGGACAAATATTCTGTAGCACTTACGAGTAGTTCCTAATTGGTTGATGTAACGGGGTGAATCGTTACATAACAATTTATAAGAAATTGTTAATAGAATATAACTATAAGAGTTATATTCTCAGAATATTGTCATAAGGACAATATTCGGTAGCACTTCCAAGTAGTTCCTAATTGGTTGATATAGGCCATTATATCAACCAACGAAGACGCGCCACGACAGACGCACGCAATGAGTGGTGAGCAGATAACTGATTTACACATTTGTATTTAGACATAGTTAGATGAAGATAAATAGTGATTTATTGCAGACATTAACTATTATAAATACAGTTCTACTTTTACTCTAACCGAGTACTCGCTTCTTCTTACCGTCTTCCTCTGCACGTACGAGTGTACGTGAAGTTACGAGGCACCGCCTTATTCTGTTATCAGAATAAGTAGCTTGTACTGTCACCAGTACAAGCTTCAGGGTGCCCCGTTACACCTGGTAGCACTTCGTAGTCCGTCCAAGGACCGCGTTCACATCCAACATGAATATGTTGGATGATGAAGATGACCAAAGCTTTCACGCTACGCGTGACGGCTACTCCCATTTGAGCGATGTCGAATGGGATGCGGTTGAACGAATGGGTTCGACCATGGGCATCCATGCTGTTAGCGTCATGCTAGAGGCTCTCAATAGAGATGCCCAACATGCTACTATCGCCAAGTTCATTCAAAATGAACTTGACGCAGAACGCGAGAAAGTAGCCTTGCTTCACCAACAAGGTTCTCAACAAGCAGAGTTGTTGAGAGAACAAGGTGCTCAACAGTTTGAACTGTTGAGACAGCAGCAGGCTGCTGCTGGCGGGTCGATGCACTCGCGTCGGCCCGAGACTTTGAAGATTGACATCTCAAAGTATAGGGGGTCGAAGAAGACTCCCTCTTGAGATGGTTCGTCGAATTGGACGACGCTATAAGGGCGCGTCGCATCGACGACGGGGATATGCAAGTTGCATTTGCCCAGTCAAATCTGGCAGGACGTGCCAAGACTTGGGCACTGGGGCTCAAGCTGCACGACCCATATGCGTTTGGGTCGTTGGAAGTCTTCAAGTCGCGGCTCAGACAAACGTTTGAACCGCCTAGAGCTGAGTTCAGAGCTCGAACCGAACTCTTGAAGCTCAAGCAGGGTAAGCGTGATGTGCACGCTTACGCTCAACATATACGACATCTCACGAGTTGTATAAGTTCCAATCCGGTGGATGAACACACGTTGGTTTCGGTGTTCATGCAGGGTCTTGCGGATGGTCCCGTCAAGACTCACCTGTTCCGGCTTGAACTAGATTCACTAGAACAAGCCATTTCAATTGCGGAGCAGGAAGACTTCAGTCTGAGACAGGCTCGCGCCAGCTCGACATCATATCGTCAACCGAGACGATATGACAACGGGGGTCCAGAGCCGATGGAACTCTGTTATGTAGAGAGCGAGAAGGCTCGCTCTACAGGCTACAAGAAGTTGCAGAGATGCAACAGATGTCAAAAGACAGGACACTACGCTTACGAGTGTAGTGCCCCTCGTCCAGTGTCTCGCGACACTGGGCGTAGTGACCGTCCACCCATGAGAAAGGGGCAGGGACGAGGGTCCGCAGTTGGTGCAAAGACGCAACAACGGGATGGACCGTCAAAAAACGGACAGGATCAGTAGGTGCGGAGCACCCTACTGATCCAGCAACGTCAAGAGAATTTGTAGGCCTCTTGATGAAGGTTGCTCCCAACACACAGACATTGTGCGTTGCTGCTCTAGGTAATGAGATCTCACTCATTACCTTGAAACTCGAAGTGACGAATAAGTTGTCCCTTCGAGCTCTAGTCGATTGTGGGGCGTCCAACAGTTTTGTGCGACGCCAATCGCTAGAAGATGGTCACTTTAAATTCAGTGAATGTGACACACCTCCTACGAGGATGACGGTACGTCTTGCGACAGGCGCATCCGTAACCGTCATGAAGCGTATAGTGAAGATTCACTATACGCTAGAAGATACCCAATACGACGATGACTTTATCGTATTGGATTTGGATGACAAATTTGATGTCATCCTTGGAATACCGTGGCTCAGAAGGTACGAACCACGGGTAAACTGGCAACATCGGACAGTAACGATGCCTGCCGCTTGTTCATCAGATGGCCATCTGATGAACGTTTTGGAAACGTCCACAAGCGTGTGGATGTACTACGAGTGAGTGCGATGGCCTCACTTGTGGTACGGTCGTTAGTACGACTGCACAAAACCTTAGTGTACCAAACGGTTACACTTCGGAGCAAAGTTCCGGCGGCTGTGAGGAAACACAGGCTGCGCCGAAGGTCCACCACTCGAATAAGTCGGGTGGACTGGGACAAAGATGTATCCCTAGAGGGGAACATCTAGAAGAGAAACAATCGATCGCTCAGGTTAAGCGAAACGATAATCCTAGATCGACTGGAGAGTCTTTCGTAGAGGATCTCGCTGTGGTTGCGCAACCCCAGCTAGAGGAAGTAAAGGGAATAAGTCCCAAGATTACAAATACGGCGGAAATAAGTTCCCCGAAACCCGCGGGAATAAGTCCCCGGGAAGACGAAGGAATAAGTCCTTCGAAGCCTGAGGGAATAAGTCCCCAGGAAATGACAGAGACATTGAATGTCATAGTCAATAACGGATCATGTGTAGGCGCTTATACACTTGATCTGATTGCGCCTCCGAAGTTAACTTCGGAGATCACTCAGTTGCCAACGCTCGAACATAAAGGTTCTTGCGTGATCTGCGTAGTGGCAAAGTCAAGCAGATCTGCATACTCGTCGCTGACGACGAGTATGTAACCGACATAAGGTCAGCAACAGTGTTTACTGAGAACGAGAGAGTTCTCAGTAGTTCATCTATGGACGAGAGTGCCTAGATGAAAAGACACGAATTGAGCGATATGAGTCCCAATCATGGGAATCGCTCAAGGAAAATCCTCTCTATGAAGATTTGGTTGAATTCAAGGATGTATTCCCTGAAACTGTTCCGTGCGAATTACCGAAGGATAAAGGTATTCGACACGAAGTCGAGC